TTAAAAAAAACAGCCAACCAAAACAGAAAAAAAAAAAAAAAGTGATCCTCTTCCCATGATTTCTATAAAGAATATCCCAAGTTGAATGTTTTGCATTAAAAATTGTATTTGGACTCTGAGATTTAATGGCTTCTGGTGGAGATTGTCCTTTTATGAATTTACCTAAGTTGTTTTTCAATGCTTTTATAATTCTGGCCTTCATAGGGGTTTGAAGAAGCCAATTTTATAACAGAGTTTTATTGTGAGTGAAAAGTATTTTTACTTCACTGGCATTCTCTATTTCCCATGCTGCAAACGACTTCTTCTTCCATTACCACCATATATCCATCCCTCTGTTACATTTCTCTTCAGTCTTCTCACAGGATGAAAATTCCTAGCCCAATGAGATTTTCTTCACAAACAAGCCTTTAAAGCTGTTTCTGTTCTTTCTGCTTTCTTCCATATCACAAAGGTTATGAATGCAGAAGAAAGTCTGTAGCTCTACTGAATGCTGCACTCTATCTAATGAAATTATGGAAGTAAGAGAAAGGAAATAGAAGAGGAGAGAAAGCATACTTACCATGACTGTCAAAATGAAGCCAGTGCAGACCAAACATATTGGTAAGGCAATTGCTATCCTAGTATCAGCAGAAAGTGGGCATTCCCCACAGTCTGCAGGACAGATAGAGCAGCCTTCTTCTTCCTCACAAAAGCCATCTCCACAGACTGATTAGGAAAGGAAACATATATAAGAATATTTTAAGGCAGTTTCATCCATCCAGGAGGTTGCATTCACTTTTAAACACATGGTTCTTGAGCTGGGAAGCCTCAGAGTACCAGAAAGAAGAAACTTTGAAGAGTTTGGAGAAATCACCCCAGCAGCTAAAAGAACAGTCTGAATTTCTAAAGTGATACAGGTTCTCTTTGACCAGATTAAATGTTAATTACATCAGAGCCTTAGACATGTTCTGTGTATAAATCACTTCACCACTATGTTTCTCATTGTCCGTATTTTTTTCTGGACCTCAAAGTTCAAGGCAGGCTTTGTCTTTTGTATTTTTCCAGCCCCTGTGATCCCCAGAAGCCAGTAAGCCTTCCTCAGCAGCAGCAGAAGACACTGGGTACTGCTGAAAGAAACCTTGCAATCTTCAAGGATTTCTTTCACTCCGAAGTCTTATATAAATTATCAGATGTGATTTAAAACAAAAGCCCCAAAGGACAAAACTCCTTCTCTCATGTCCTGAATGGTCTTTCAATTTTACCTCTGTGACTAAACTAATATCATACTGTACTTCAACACTGTGAGACCAGCTGAAGGAATTTTTCTAGCACTAGGTAATATTGTTTTAACTGAAACCTTCAACAAAACAAAGTCTACTACTCAGTAACATTGCTGCCTCAGTCTCATTAATTCCAGTATAATTCCAGGATAACGACAGAAGTCACTTTTTGCCTCAGGCATAGTTCTGCATTTTAAAAATTCCTTTTCCGATATATTTTAAGTTTCCTGGAAACTGAAGTTGTTTTGAAATGAATAGAAAACTCTACAGTTAAATACTTCCATCCACACCAGAGTTGCTTTGTTCCTTTCTGTTTTCTTCCCCGTAACATTTGGATATATATTCCAGAAGAGTAGCTAACAAGAGAACTGTGATGAAATTCCTATTTTAGCCAATGTTTTTCTTTAGGTTGTGTTTTTAGTTTATTAAACAAGTCCACTTTTAAAACTTTACACTGCTATGAGAATTGTTACACTTAGTTCTGCTTCCCTTCGTACAGCTACACTGAAATGAATGAAAGACTTTGGAAGCAATTTTATTTTGATGTGAACAAGGGAACCAATACGGATTTCTACCTTTCCAATAAGTTTAGGACAAGTCTGCTCCTCTACAGATGAAGAGTGTCCAGATCCTCAGAGTATTAACTGGAAAAAAAATTCTCACATTCCCATGAACTGCAGACATGCTTCGTAGTATCTGAAGTCATTGGTCATGGTATTTGACTTTACTTTTTGACAAGAATGGCTGTCTACTGTTCTAGATTAGTATGTATATTAGAAGCTCAAACATTTTTTTAGATGTTGGAGTAGGAGTCCCTTTTGTTCTTGGTAACCATGCATGAATGATAAAAGCATTGAAATGTGCAGTCAATGAGCAATTCCCTCACATTTTCATTTTATATCATACCTACTGCAGGGAGGACTGTGGTCTTTGCTTCCAGAGCAACTTGCATTCTCCCAACTCTGATGTGTGCGATGAGAGAAGTCACACCCATATGAACTAAAACAACCTGCCAAACAAGTGAATGAAGCAGCAATCATCAAAACTTCACTCACATACAGTAGGCTATTATAATAAGAACTGTCCAATTGTGGTGTCCTTCAAAAGAATTTGCGTATTTTCTTCAGAATCAGGAAGGACAGGTGTTCTTGACTGGGGAGGCAAGCAGAAGCAGGAGAGACAGCTCTTGTGAGAAAGGCTGGTCTGACTTCCCTCCTGGTGTGTATTCTCACCAAGCAGGGCTCTCGGCACAGTGCATTCTGCAATGCTTGCTTCCTCTGTTATTTTCTGCCGAGTAGAAGCCCCTTACTGATTATATTAACATGCATCACCATCCAGTCAGTAGTGTAATGTATTGTTAGTGTGGGCCTAAAATGGACATTTTCCTTCCATCCCCATTACTTCTACTAACTTCCTAGTGTGTAAAGCTGTTACTTCCAAATCAAGTCATTTGGGAATTGATATCATACAGCTATATGCGCAACTTCCGCACAAAACACATACAAATAAATGAGATGGAGAACATTACATGAACAGCACTAAATTACTAGCAAGTAAGCTCTGAAAAGAGCAAACCAGGTAAAATCCTGTATGCAATAAATATTCTTTACCTTAGCAGTCCAGTTTCTTTGGCTCATTTTGCCAGCAGTTGACAAAGTGTGAGTGAATATCTGACCATCATCTGGGATCCATGGACCACATATTCGTCCTTTACCCTTTAGTAGACATATTGGTTATATCAGTAAACCAGGACACAATGGAACTCTTAGTTTCTCCTCTTTTACTCTCTCAAAATTACTCATACTTTCTAACAGCAAATAAAATTATATTTTATAACCAAATTTATTAAAATGACAAAACACAGGCAACCCTGTTCTGTGGCAAAATAAAAGATAAAATTAGAGAGAACTAAAATTTAGATGCAGCAGGGATTCCTCTTTTGAATCAAAGTCCTGGTATCAGCTAAGGCTCTCAGGGACTTAGCAATAAAATAGCACCTTAAGAAGGGTCTGCCAAAAAGCAAACTAGAGCTTTTATGGAGTCAATAAGCCTTCACACAAAAGACTACACGAAAAAGCTGCAAGATGTGTAGACTAGGTTTCCTATTACACCATCTTTGATCATGAAGAATGTGTCACAATGCCAGAAGGGAGAACAACTAGGAAAACTGGGCATCTGTATGAAGGTTATTAGGTAGGGCAAGGCTTACTTCACAGATCTAAGAAAAAAAAAAAAAAAAGAAAAGGTGTTCCAAACTGTATTTTTAGAATCAGAACTTTAAATAGGAACTGTCTTATAATGAGCCAATCAGACAAATTTATAATGGAACTTGTTTACATTGCATGAACAGAGTTTGCTGTCTTGTATTTGGATTCCTTTTTCTGCTCTGATATAATGGAGAAAAATCATTCCATCTCAGGACACGCATATACAGGGTTCAGTTCTACAAGTGACAGCCAGTGATCTTCCCCCCCATCAATCCCAGTAATCCAAGCAAATAATTCACAGTCCCTCTATAAAATGCAGAGACGGGAATACCTCCAACTGACAATTTGCCCTGCTTGTTTTAGAATGAATTGGTCTCTCTTTCTCTATTGACTACACAGCAGTCTGAGTCAGATGATCACAAAGAGATGACACTGGCCCCACTAAGTATAATGAGAGGTTCTGAATGCTGCCTTGTTCAAATACCCAGCCACTTGCTTTGCAGACTCAGTATCCAGTGCAAAAAAATTCAGAAAATGGCAGATATTGCCACAGTGGTCTTAGTGAATTATAGATTTGGTCTAATTGTAATCACAGAAAGACTTCATGAATTTAAACCTGGTTATTACAATGGTGACTCATCCGGTAACAAAACCAGAATACGTGATGCTGCACTGTCACACTAACCATGAAGGCCAAAGGACAGGAATGAATATTGGCGTGGTGGACACAGCAGTTCTCCCCATTTGCATCTGTCCATCTGGCAGGGCATTCATGCTCCTCACAGAATTCCTTTGCAGCAGTAGCATTTCTGGACAAGCAGGAGAGAGAGAAAAACTTCTACATTCATTCCTCAATTACAAAAAATGCACCAAACACATCAGAGTGTGTTCTTCAACCTGCACACAAAAATTAGCAGCTAAAATATATGCAGGGAAATTAAGTGTTGCACCATTTCATTTTATTTGTTTTCCTTCTGGTTGAAGAGCAGCTGGAGCAAAAGAAATTGTTTTCAACTGGCCCACCACCTACTGTCATACAGTAGGGACTTCTACAAGATACTGTGCGGCATGCAGGGACTAACCTCGACTTCTCTCCCCAGCCTCACTTCATGCCTAGATGGGATTACTTGGCACCACTTTATCTGGCACAGACAAAGACATCATTACTCTACTTCCACTATATGTGTCCCTGGCTACTTTCAGTTCCAGTGTTTTCAGTTATATACCCTCATCTATGCACATGATTCATACAAATCACTCAGCTCCAGTATTTCCTCCACAATTCAAACTGCCAAGGAAAATGCATATATTGGACAATAATATCAGATAAAATTCCTCAAAATAAAAATTTAAAGCAAAAAGTGGAACTTTATGAATAGACTACTCTGCAAAACAACTTTTGAAAGTTCATCCCTGAAAGGTTAATGTAGTCATCTGGAAATGTGTGATGCAACACTTTTTCCCACTGTTTCCTCAGTTACATTTTCAGTTGGCTATCACCCAAATAAATTTGGCTTTAAGATAAAATTATTTTAAGCAAACATAGTTTACTCAGTAGATATAGCCAGAATTAGTTGCAGTTTAGTTTAAATGTTATGCACTTGTGATGGGTCTTTATAAAACTATTTGAGAGCACAAGGATTTATTTTTTTGGTCTGTTTTTAATCAAAGTATTATTAGCCAGTAACGAGTAGATTTAAGACAGAAGACTGTGTTTATTATAAGAAATAAACATGAACATAGGGGATGAGGTTGACATAGATTGTATTCATGGACAGATTTACAGAGGCATAAGCATACTCAAAACCTGAGAAAAGAAAATTTGTCAATTCCCAAGCGATCTAAACAGCTAAAATTAATTAGTCTTTGAGTCCTTACTGGGAGTGAAGAAAAATATTTAATCAAGTTGGTGCCTAATTCCATCACACACTTTTCCTTAGGGCTGCTTTTTACAATTTATCCTATGTTCTGCATTTTTTATTCAGTATCTTCATCATGTCTTCACCAGTTATGCTGATGCCCATACACTGACTTGCAAGCCTCAGCTGTATTTGGGTCAGCCACCATAAGCTTAAGTGTTAATCAGATAGTCTTCTAGTTAAAATGAGGTGCAAATTTGATCCCTGTAGCATAGATTTCTCCCTCTAAAAATATTTGACATCTGTGTCTATGTGCAAGATATATGTAAGAACACAAAAAGCAGACTTTTCCAAATTCCTATGGATTTGAGGGAGTGGGTCTCCCTGAGAAGGCTAGAAAATCAGAGTCATTTCCAAGCAGTGAAAAAACCTGCTTCACAGTTAAGTTCTTGGAACTATTGCAAGCCATAAATTTCAGAAAATGTGTTAAAAAATGTTGACAAAACTGTGTAAACAGAGTACACAAATGATAAAAAATAATTAACTTTTTGTCATTGCAAATGAATTATAGAACGTCTTTCAATATGCAAAAAATTCTATGGGTAACACCTTACATAAACTAAACTTTGCAATGTGAACATTCAGAAAGGCAGAGAAAAAGTGAAGTTTTCCATCACAGAAACTGGGGAAATAAAGCTGCAGCCTCCATCCCTGATATTGCTATGTATGGATGAAAAACTGCTATGTGCAAAATAAAGTGTAAAATCAGAATGTATTAGCCCTGCAGTTTTATATCCAGATCTGTAGATCTGGAGTTGTACACATAAATATTCTCTATTTAACCTCTGTTGTCTGCAGTTAGCAACACAGTTTTTGAGTTGAGCTTTTGGAATGATTTTAATCCCACAGAAATCAAAAGAGGTTCACCACTGAATTCAGTAGATTCAGGCTTGGACTCACATCTTTTTGATGTGCAGGTTGTGCGCTTCAATTACACTCATGATTAAAATGAGTATGAGATACAGTTCATTTGAGACTTGTGCTTAAACTTCAGTTATAAATTCCATGTGAGGAGAAGGCAAGAAGTGATGCTCAGAGTTATACTGGGACAGTAGTGACATGACCTGTCTTTGACCATGAAGGCAAGTATATCATGATTGCTGCTCTGAGACCAAAGCCATTGGAGAGGGGAAAATATCAGGGCAAACAGAGATGAAAGAGGCCACAAAATATGCAAGGAGTTAGTGAGGAGCCCCAGAATGTGTGTTCCAATCATATGACTGAAAATGTACACAAATATTTCTCATATACTCATGACAATGACAGCATTTTTATAGGAAGTAATACCTGTGGAAAAGGATGCCATTTTGCACTGCATATTGATAAAAGCTGTCTGAAGCAGAGACTGCATAGGTTACATTGAAGGATTCCCCGCTCACAGCCTTTTCTGGAGGCCTTTGCACCCATGTCATCTCCAGTCCTAGAAACAACACAAAAGTATTTGCTATACTCTTTTACTTAACAGATCTATATGAATGTAAAACTTTTTCTGTAGTGATTTTCATCTATTCACAGATCTATTTATAGACTCATAGAATCCTTTGAGTTGGAAGGGACTTTTAGGATCATCTAGTTCCAATCCTCCTGCCATGAGTAGGGACACTT